GGGGCCATGCAGTCCGACGATCTCTTCCTCCGCAAAATGCGGACCCCCTTGTCCCGGCAGCCYCCTCCCCTTGGCCCACCCTGCCCTGCCGGGGGGGTCCCATCGCCGCCCCCCTCCCCGGGCAGAGCCGCCCCTCGGGGTCGCAGCAGCAGCGAGGCCGCTTTGGGGAGATCCCCGCTGAAAGATGGGGAGGGGTCCCCGGCTTTGGGGTCCCCCCGAAACCGCACCCAAAGCCACGAGGAGGCTGCGGGCGGGGGGCTCAGCCCCGCGTCCCCCCGTTTTCACGACCCTTTGCTGCTGCTGGGGCTGGCGGCCGGCGGGGGGGACCCCGATTTCTTCCCCCGCCCACCCTGGAGCCCCCTCCTCGCTCATTACGACGTGCAGAGCATCCTCTTCGACCCCAGCGAGCCCCCCCCGGGACCCCCCAGCCTCACCTCGGGGGCTTCGGCCGCTCATTTGGAGCCCGAGGAGACCCCCGGCTCCCCCCGCGCCGCCCCCGACCCCGAGGCGTTGGTGCTGAGCTGCCCCCGTTTCTGCTGCGAGATTGGAGGGGAGCGGGAAATGGGTCTGGGGTCTCCCCAAAGCCCCCCCGGGCCCGGGCAGCTGCCGAACGCGGCGGTGGCGGTGTTGGAGGAGCCCCCGGCGGGGGCGCGACCCCCGCACCCCATCGAGCACAGCGATGAGGGAGCCGAGTATTACCGCAAATATTTCTATGGGAAAGGTGAGTGGGGAAAGGGGGGGAAATTTGGGTCTGGGGGCGCGCGGGAGGGGGGGGATACAACTGGGAAAGGTGGGGAGGGGTCGGGGAAGTGAAATAGGGGGGAGCTGTGAGGGTCCTCATGTCCCCAGAGCATCAGAACGGGTTGAGTGAAGACCCCCACTCCCCCCTGTCTGGGGCAAGGGGAGGGGTCTGCGGGGATCCCGAAGCCCCCAGACCCATTTTTCCCCCTCCAGAACACCACAATCTGCTGGGCGAGGACCCCCGGCTGGGGCCCGTGGCCGTGTCCGTGCGGCGCGAGGAGAAGGAGGGACCCCGGCCCCAAGTGCTGCACAGGATCATCCTGCGGACCTGCCAGGTGAGGAGCTGAGGAGGGGGCT